CATATATATATATATATATGTATATACATTTTTTTTTTTGAGAAAGCCCAAAGGCTAATATATTAAAAGAAAATAAAGATACATATAGATTGTGTGGAAGAGCCCAAGCATGACACCATTCCCCCACGATAACCATCACATACAAAAGGTTCTAAAAAAGAGAAAATATAGAAAATTACAAGAGACCTAAAGAGAAAAACAAAAAAAAATGCCAAAAAACATAGTATCAGGTAGCTAGAGAGCGCCCAATTTTCCTTTGCCTCTACCTCTAGTTCTTGGAAAGGAGCCAGCTAATAAATTGGTAAGATGAGTGTTATTGCCAGTAGTGACCAAAATATCATCCAATAAGTTTCTAAGCTCAAGTCGGCCTCCAGTCTCTTTCTTCCTCCTGGAATAGACCTGTCATTCTTCATCCGAAGATTGGCTCGCCTGATCAGTGGATTGGTCTAAAGTGTGTCGGATATGAGTAGGATGTTGAACATTAGAAGTAACCCCGCTTGTTGTACCAGCTGATCTTTGATTGAATTAAAGAAGCACTCTCGTGTGTCTTGACAAGTAAGTGAGTCTTCTTTAATAACAGTAAGTGATATAAACACTTTTGGATCTGTACCTGTATTATGATGTTCTTCATCAGGAACTGTGATGTTGGGTAAAGGATCGTTTTGCGCCTTCTCAACAGGGATTGTAGGTGGCTGATCTTTAGCGATATCCAAAACCCGTCATGTGGTAGCTTTCTCTCCAGATGGAACAAATATGTCCAGAGTAGTGGGATTAGATCTATCCTTATTCACTTGATCTTTAGATTTCAAATTAGGATGAGACTTATGACATTTATCAAGTGTATGCCCAAACATCTTACAATGAGAACAGTGAGGCGGTCTATGCTCCATGACGATTTGTTGTCAATATTCATTATGAGTTGTGCCCAACCAGACTTCCGTAACATCAGGTAAAGTAATATTTCTTTCCACAAGTATTCTAGCCACAAACTGTGTATATATATATACACACACACACAGATATATATATATATATATATTGAAAGCCCAAAGGCTAATATATTAAATAAAAAGTAGGGTACATATATATTTTGTGGAATGTCCCAAACATGACACCCAACCTACACAAAAACCACCAAATCAAATAGTTCCAAAAAGGAGAAATACAACAAAAAACATAGAAGATCTAAATAAAAAATCAAAAGGTGCCAAAATAAGAGTATCAGGTAGCTTGAGAGTGAAACGATTTTGCCTTGCATCTGCCTCTTGTTCTAGGGAAGGAGCCAGGTAATAAATTGGTCAGATGAGTGTCATTGCCAGTAGGACGTAACCAAAGTATCATCTATTAGATTCCTTAGCTTAAGTAGATCTCCATTCTTCTTCTTCTTCCTCCTAGAAGTGCAGACCTACCATTCCTCATCCGAAGATTGGCTGACCTGATCAGCTGGTAGTGCTGCAGTAGATTGGTCTAAAGTGTGCATGATATGTGTAGATTGTTGAACATTAGAAATAACTACTTGTTGTATCCGCTGATCTTCTATCGGATATATATAGTGAGTACAATAAG